GGGAGGGCTCAGGTGCAGACATCCGGTGGCTACACATGAGAGGTCATCCTGAAGCAGAAGCCACAGACAGAGAGGGTGACTACAGGAAGTTCAGTGTGGAACCAGGGAAAGCGCTGGCAAGCGGGACTGCAAAGGGCAGCTGTCAAAGGACATCTACGACTGCACTAGCACACACATATTGAGGGCACTCAGGCGCCAACCATTATGAAAGCCACAGCAGCATACAGATGAAAAATAGTCACTGCCTCAGATAATCAGGAGCCGCTGAACTTACTGAAGAGTATTTTCAGTGGTTAGGGTAGCAGTGGGAAGCATGGTGGAAGTGGCTGACTAGCAGCAAGGTGAGGTCTTCCTGTGTAGAGGGGATATTGGGGGAAAAAAGCAATCAGTTTTCAAGATGCCAAGATGGGGAAGGTTACTGACCAGTGGAGGAACACACAAGGAGAGCTTCAAAAAATAAACCAAAGAACAGAGAGGAGCAACTCATGAGGAAGGCCTCTGGTAGACAGGAAGAGAAATGTGGACAGCAAGGAGGCAGCTTAGCGACAAGCGGCAGAGACTCCTGTGGCCCTGGCATGAGGATGGGGCACAATAGAACGGTGCGTGTGAGCTACAGGCCAAAGGGCTCACGCTGGATTGACTGCTGTAAGTCAGCCCTGCCACTGTGCCTACCACATACTGGAAGGAGTACATTCTACATTCATGATTCACATTCTCTCTCTCATTTAGACTTGACAGATGAGAGAAAACATGGAGCTGTGTTTGTTTTCCTCAATTTAGCTTTTTTTGCTTAGCATGATTTCCAGAAAGCACTGACTTTCTGGAAGGTAGTAAAATTTTAGTTTTTTCACAGTTCAACACAAGTTGGTGGCATGACTACAAGTTAGCATTTTGGCTCCTGCTGGCTGGAGAAGTGAGCTGGCCAGGCATAGATGGATATTTAAGACAACTGGGTGTTCCTTCCACGCCTAGTCTCTCCTAGGACTTTACCCTTTGCATCTTGCTTCCTGCTCTTTGTGGTTTGAACACAGATCACAGCACCTTCACACTCAACCTGGCTTTGCTAAGTGTAGAAATTTCGGCTACTCTGACTGTTTGACAGTTACCTGGCTTGCCCACAGACATTCTCCACTCTCTGTTCTCCCAGACCCAATCCCCCAGGCTCATCCCCAGCACTGCAACAGATTACCAGCTGTGGCCTTGCCCCCATCCACGTCTCCTGTGATTCCCACAGGCCACCCCTCCTGACATCCCTCCCCTAATGTGTTGCTGCCATCCCCACCACCAATACCAGCAGGCATCTCCTGTGAACACACCAGCTGGGGTGGGCCAACACACTCTGAAAATCCATAGAGGAAACAAGAATAAAACATACACTCAACAAAGGCAAATCCAGAAATCAGCATCTAGACCTACAATCACTCAAAGCAAGATGCCTAGATGCCAGCATAAGAATATAATTAATAACAGCCAGAGCAATATGTCCCTACTAGAGTTCTACTGGCCTACCACAGCAGGCTCTCAATATTCTTACATAGCTAAAGCACAAGAAAAAGTGCTTAAAACCAACTATACGAAGAGGCTAGAGGTCCTTAAAGAGGAAATTAATAAACCCCTTAAAGAAAGCCAGGAAAACACAAACAACTGGAGGAAATGAATAAATCTCTTAAAGGAGGCCAAGGGGGGAAAAAAAGTTAAAGGAAATGAATAAAACTGTTTTAAGACCTGTGGGGAGAGAGACAGCTGGAATTGGGGGCCTCTGGAGGGGGGTATGGAAACCTGGTACAGTGGAAACTTCCTGGAATCTATGAGGGTGAACTAGTGAAGAGTCCTAGTAATGGAGGATGTGAAGTCTGAACTGGCCATCTACTGTAACCAGGCAAGGCTTCCAGTGCCAGGATGGGTTGTATTTGATTGAGCTGTTAACCAAGAGGCTATCACGGAGACCCCAGAACCCAGGTTGACATCCTAAAAGAGAGTCATTCTCTGCAAACTGACAGCAGGGCCCCGCTGCCAAGGACAACTGGCACTGAACACAGAGGTTGAGCTGGTACCTGCATGGAGCCTTCACACCAATGTTCTAGTCTCTTTGGTGGAGGAAGGTACTCTTAAGGCTCAGAAAGAGAAAAAGAGAAACCTGGACACCAAACCAGCCTTTGACCAACAATCTCTCCTGCCTTGGAGATGTGCTGGGGTAATGGTGCTGCAGGACTTGTGGGAGTGGCCAACCAATATCTGATTGAACTTGAGGCCCACTCCACAAGAGGGAGCCCATGTTCAACAAAGCTTGGGTGGCCAGGCACTGGAGACTAGAAGGACCAAGAGACATAGCTAGGGTAGAACCCAACATGACTGGTCAACAAACAAACAAACAAACAAAACCAAAACAAGAACAACAACAACAAAAAACCAAAAACAATAAAATGACTCGTAATGATATTCTGTTATACTCCTAGATCAGTCCTTGTCCAGTCATCACCAGAGAGGCTTCCTCTGGCAGCAGATGCAGAGACCCATAGCCAGACATTACGGGAGCAGAGTCTCAACTGGAGGTCCCCATCAGGTCCCTTCCCTTGCCACTCAGGGAATCCCATGGAAAAGGGGATGGAAAGATTGTAGGAGTCAGAGGGATGGAGGACGCCAGGAAAACACAGCCCACTGAATTAACTAAGCAGGGCTCCCATGGGCTCACACAGACGGAAGCACGCAGGGGCCTTGCAGGGCTCTGCATCAGGTCCTGTGTATGTGTTGTGGCTGCTCACCTGGGGTGCTGTGGGGCCCTAACAGAGGGAGCGGGTGTGTCTCTGTCTCCGTGCCTGCTCCCTGCTCTTTGTTGGGGCGCCTTGTCCAGTTTCAGGGTGGGGCTTCTGCCTGGTCTTACTGTGTTTAAGTTTTGTCCTATTTGTTGCTGTCTCTGCAAGGCCTGCTCTTTTCTGATGGGAGATGAAGGGGGAGTGAATCTGGGGGAGAAGGGAGGAGATGGGAAGCAGGGGGGAGTGAAGAGTGAAAACTATGGTGGGGGTGACTTGTATGAGAGAAGAGTCTATCCAGCAGTGCCTCCTCTCCAACCCCTCCAGCCCTGTTCTCTAAGCAACCTACTGCTGCAAAGTGTCAATCTTCATCTGCCATTTTACATGTACATTATCACCAACCTGGCTGCTGTAGGTATTTGCACAAGTAAATAACATGAGTATGGAAATTCTGACAGTCGTGTATACGCCTGTGTCTACCTTAAAAATACCTTTTGGATGGATGCATCTAAAAATATTCATCACATTTGTTTGTTTGTTTATCTTAGTTTGTGCGCGTGTGTGCACTTGCATACATATGAAGGTCACAGGTCAACCTGCATTCCTCGGTTCTCTGCCTCTACCTGTAGATTCCGGGATCAAATTCAGATACTGAAGCTCAAGAACCACCTCAGGGCCTCAAAGAATGGATTTTATTCCAACACATTTATATATTCCTAGTACTTGAAAAGAAAAATCACATGACCACACACAAAAGTATGTGTCAAAATTTAATTTAAAAAAAAAACCCACAAATATTACTTTGCTGAGCTGGGCCAGGTCTTATTTCAGTTGTATTAAAAAAAAAAAAAAAAAAAAAAAAAAAAAAAAAAACCATGGCAAACGAGCCAAGCTTGGTGGCACACATTTATAGTTCCAGTGGAGAAGCAGGGACAGAAAGGTCCCTTGGAGAAGGGTCCCTGAAGCTCGTTGGCCAGACAGTTCAGCATGATTTTCAGGCTCAGGACAGTGAGAGAGCTGGCCTCAAAAGACAGGGAACACATCCAAGAGGGGGGCACCTGAAGGGGCCTTCTAGCTCCCACACGCTTTGCGCACACACACATTTGCACCTTTGATCTAAACCAACATTCATGTTACCCATTGCCTGCCTGCCCGCCTTCCTGTCTCCCTCTCTCTCCCCCTCTGTTTCAATTCAGATTCTTTCACAATCACTTTACTGACTAACCCATCTCCTCAGTCTCCACACAGCTTATTGTTGATCTAAAATAAGTAGATACAATCAGCCAGTATTTTAACAACACAGTAAGAACTACAGTAACTATCTGATTACAAGATGTAAATCAATCTTTCAAACCATGGAAGAAGTTAACAGTTCAAGAAGATGAAACTGAAGCACTATCATCTTAAGAGTGTCCTTAAGGGATTGAGTGAGTTTAGTTAGGCACAGGATGCCTATCGTTTCTAAAAGCTGTCAACAACATTATAACAACATTTCAATTACAATGCTAATAATTGTACCATCCCTACAGGAATTTAAATTATTGAACTAAAAAGTTAGAAATGAAGTTTAAGAATACAGAAGATTTAAGAGTTTGAGGCCTAGGAATATAGCTCAGTGGCAGGGCAATTGCCTAGCATGTATGAGACCCTAAATTCAATTCCCAGCATTAAAAATAACAATAAACAATGAACAAATGAATACATATTTTGAGTACTGATTTTCATCTCTGAAATATCTCACAAACTGCTTGTACAAAGATATGAATAAGCAAGAATATACTACTGCTATCTCAGGGTAAAGCCACACCCTAGTAGACTTTTGGACTTCTATGCAGTATATCATACAGTCACCATTCTGTGACTACAGAGTGCAGAAATCAGTGAAGAAACCAAATGTTTACTGCCATCCTAAGAGGAAGGAGAGGAACTGACTGAAAACCACACCTGGCCATTAACAGGAACAGACCTCTTACAACGACTCCCAAGCCCAAGATGCTAGGGGTCTGGGGTAAGCGCACCCAAAGCAACACTTACATGCCTGTGAGTTTGGGAAGCATGTTTCTGCATGTCCTAAGGAATTTGGTAGCACTTAACAATGCTGTCCAGTCACTACCACCTGTCGTCTGCACAGCCACCATAATAAAAGTAAGCAAGCAGCTCTGCAGCGGAAATCACACGCTACAACCAACAGGAAATTCTCAGACTTCCTCCAAAAGATAAAAAGTATAGGGCAAAGAGAGTTTAACCTACCTCTCTCTTTGCAAAGGACAAAAAGGAATTCAGCAGCAATTTGCTTGACTCCAAGGTCAACATGTGTCATGAGGCGCACCAGCTTATTTCTCACAGTTGAGCCAACTTCAGGTCGATTTGTCACATCCCTCAATGGTGGTAAAACCTGATGGCATAAATGAAAAGAACCATCATCAATTGAGGGTCCTGGGGTGTGTGAGAATGGTACCGTGCAACTGGTCAGTCTTAGGAGGAACTACACTTAGTTACTAAAGTAACAAAAATAAATGTTAGCTTCCAAATAAAATGAAATTAACCATCATTATCATCAACAACAACCAGACCTCAGATAATCTCGTGGGTGTACTAAGGTTCTGTTTGGACAGAACCATGTCTTCCCTGTGTGACCGGCCAAGTCAACATCTGAGGTGCCTCCACTGCCTAGCAAAATTAATTTAAAGGTTCATATCAAGATCTCTTTCTTGCTGGGCATGATAGCACACACAAGTGTATAGAAGGCTGAGCGAGGAGGCTAGGAGTTCAAAGTCTGCTTTAGCTACACAGCAACTGTCTCTAACACCAAGCAGAGGGGTAAAGCCAGTGGAGCTTTCTGTGCAAGCATGAGGATCTGAGTTCAATACTCAGAAACCACAGGGGAAAACCCAGGTGTGGCGGCGAGGGTTTGTAATCCTAGTGGGGGCATTGGGGGCAGTGGAGACAGCCTAGCCTAGTTGAACAGTTTCAGGACAATGCGAGCGAGGAGTGTGAGGGGAGGAAAGAAAGCAGATGGTGTCTAAGAGTCAACATTCCATACACATCTTTTCCATATGCACCAATGCCCACGGTTTCCCATCCTTCCACAAGCTTCTTTATAGCCCAAACCATACTGACTTAATTCTTTTAGGTCTAGCAGCATATTCAGTATTTAATTTTTAAAAGTTTACATTTATGCTTTTTAGTTGTTTAATTTCTTAATAGAAATGGCCATTTCAGGTTGAATATTCTTAACTCCAAAATCTGAAACATTTGAATACTGATATGATGCCATAAATAGAAATTCCATGTGACAAGGGAAATGAATTTCATGTGATAGGCTAAGTGAAGGTAAGCTCTGGGTATAAGGTACATATAGAATACGAAAGAATTTCACATTTACAGTTGGGACCCACTGCAAGATATCTTACTGTGTAATCTCTGCAGATATCTACAAATCTCAAACCACTATAAAGCTGAAACACTTTTAGACTCAAGCATTTGGGGGAGAACTAAACCTTTCATCACAAAGGGTTCTTCTCTATGCATCACGCAATACCACCACCACTCCTCCCCCACCCTCCCCGGTGTGTGTGTTTGTATGTCTCTCTCTATATATATATCTGTCTCTCATTCCGTGTTTGTGTATGCCTCTCTCTGTGTAAATCTCTTTCTGTCTCTCTGTGTCTCTCTCCTGATGGGAGATGTCATTCTGTAAATATGTTTCTCTTATTGGTTAATGAATAAAGTTCTGTTGGCCAATAGGAAAACAAGACAGGCGGGACTAGGGGACAAGAAGGATTCTGGGAAATGTAGTAAAGAAGAGTCAAGATGTAGGAACTTGAGAGAAGAGGTCCACACCCTCTCTCCAGTAAAATAAGACCACGTGGAAACACTTAGATTGAAATGGGTTAATATTTAAAACAGAGCTAGCCAATAAGAAACAGTAGTAACTGACCAATACAGTGACTCTGTATGTTATTTGGGGCTGATGCAGCTCTAGGACTACGCTGGCTGTAAAAGTGCTGGTAACACTTCCTTCCCCACAAGGCATCGTAAATACTGTGTGCCTTTTTCCACAGAAGTACATCCTATGACTCTTACGAAGCATGCACTCATGCTCTGTGTGTGCCTTCTTTCTGAGCATCTCTCTCCTAGCCCAAATACTTACCCTAGTATCTTTTTTAAAAAGAAAGTTCCATAGGGACAATTGCCCCCTTTCTCTATTAGTCTCTTCTCAGTGCCTGGAATATTATGTGTGTCCAATAAATATTTGCTAATTTAGAGGGGAAGTGAATAAATCCAAGTAATTCTCAATACATGATGCACTGGTCTGTTTCTGCTACTGTGAGAAAAGGCCCAAGGCACGCTAGACTAGTTTACAGTTTGGGGGCTTCAAAGTTCACGATCAGGTGATCCTATCCACTGGTTCCATTTCAGGTGAGGGCCTCCTGCAGGATGGTGTCACAGAGGCATGTGATTTAAGGGTCAGGCCAGCTCCAATTTGTTTTGTGAGAGCTAAGGGGCCCAAAGGAACTTCTTAACCCACTTAGGCAACACCACCAGTGACCTGTGGACTTTCTATGAGGCCATACATCTTAAAGGTTCCACATCATCATCACCCTCTGCCCAGGGTGGATTCAAATTGAACCCAGAAGGATTCAAATTTCTATCATGTGTTTATAGAGGGAAAAACTACACCTAAACCACAGTAACTAGTGCCTTCTGTATAAGAATTAGTCCTTGTGCTAGGAAATGAAGCACATTACAAAGTTGAAGAATGATTTACTGCACACCTATTCAGACTGTATACATGTAGACTTTATTTAATCTATATAACTAAATGTTCCCCTTCATCTCTCTTTTTCTACAGAGTATATCAGAAGGTACAATTAAAACATAGAGAAAAAATGTAAGAGAAGTAACCCACCCAAAAGTTTTTAAGATATAAATAGCTCTAGAAAGCTGGGGCTAGTGTAAGGCGTAAGGTAATTGAACAATACATTCTTATTTGGTTGAGTTGATTCTCCTGGGTTTATTTCCTATTTCTACAAGAATGAGATATGTGGGTGATTTCTAAGCAGTGATTAATATCCAGTATGCACAGTCTACAATCAAAAGATTAGCATGCAACAATTTCTTAGCTACTTTCATGGGTTTCTTAAAGATTTTACTACTTTGTTGTTACACACTTTGTTGTTACACGCATCTCTCCTCACATTATCCCTCAAAAATTTTTTGCTAAGTTGTATCCAGTTTCTCTTTGCACCACAGTATCTCTTCTACCAGTCCCTAGACTAATACAATCTCCGGTCAGGACTCTCCACTGCTTTCACTTGTAACTGGTTAAACAGAGCACCCAACCCTAGACTCCTTTGGGGATGGCTGAGTTAGATTTAACAAAGTAGTTGCTACTACATGTAGTAACTATTTGGAGATAACTTCAACTACAGTATTCTCAAAGCTAATTATCTGTTATTTTCCCCAGAGATTGAGTGTGTGGCCAAGCACACACTCCACCAATGAGCCACACCCTGAGACCACATGCTACATTAAGTTCTGCCTTTCTTGAGGCTATCTACAGAAGTTTGTTTCCTTCTTTCCCTCCTCCTTTACTTTCCTTTCTTTGAAGTCCAAGAACAATTTTATTAGCATTTCAAAGAAAACTACAGGACAGCTGTTAGGAGGAAGGTGGAAAAGATGGAGAGGGAGTCATGGCCTTTGAGTTACAATCAGCACCGGAAGTCTGTAAACAGATATAGAAGGGTGGGAGTGTCTGAAAAAATACACTCAGGATTTTGGCCAATAGCCAAAGAACAGAAACGAGGACAAGACACAGTTATGCTTTTGAGTTACCATTCAGGGAAGTGGGCGGGCTCAGCAGTGAAGGTCTATAAGCAATGGTAGCAAGGGAGGGCTCTGGGATAGACAAGTACATTCATTATCTCCCTGACTCGCATAGCTTGTGCTGGACTCCGGCATTCTCTAAGGTCTCACATGTTAAACCATGACCCCTAGTGTGGTGGTGACAAGAGGTGGTGAGCATTCTCTAAGGTCTCACATGTTAAAGCATGATCCCTAGTGTGGTGGTGACAAGAGGTGGTGAGCTGATCTTTAAGAGCTGAGACAGGAGATCAAGCTGTTATAAGTTAGAGTTAAGCTCACTCTGGCTTTTTGCTTTGAGATGTGACCCTTTTTTCTTGCATACATGCTTCTGACACATGCCATGCAGTCCTTACCAGAGCCAAACTAATGCCAGTGCCTTACTTTTGAATCTCCATGACTAAAGAAATCTGTTTCTGCTGTAAAATTAGGCTGCCCCAGGTATTTCACTATAGTAATGATGAGCAGACTGACAGAAAACTGGTACCAGAAGTAGGGTTGTTTACTGTGACTACACCTGAAAATGGAGAGGCAGCCTTGGAACTGGATGACTAGAAGAGGGTTGAAGAATTTGGAGGAACATGCTAGAAAGGCTTGGGTGCTGTAAATATGATTTAACTGGAGTGTCTGGTAGGGCTCAGAAAAGGAAGAAACCAGGAAAACGAGTATTAGATGGAAATGAGAATCTGATGGGAAAATGGAAAAAGAGCCGCCATCACTATTACACTGTTACAAAGAATCTGATCATAAGGAATCCATGTCCTAACACATTGCAGAGGCTAGAATTAGGAATGACGGTCTAGTTTATCTGGCTGGAGAAAATTTAAAACAATGAGACATTTGGGTTATGATATTAGTGTTATGGCTACTGTTAGATTTATAGTAAGAGTTGGAAGCAAAGGGAAATGGAATAAAAGAATTGTAAAATTTGCAGCTTGTCCAAGGAAGGAATAAACATGTAACTGAAGGTATGACTTAGGACGGTACACCAAGAGACTGATGAGATTGGCAAGAATGCTAATTATAAGGTCCACATAAAAGCCTTGAGACCACCTCCCCATCTTCTAGGTCACTCCCCACCCTCACCACAGGCCAACAGACCTTCAGGACAGCACTGAGTTCACATCAGAGCAGACTTTTCTGCCATCTGCACAGTGCTGGTTCTGCAGGTGTGCAGAATGCTAAGATTCCTGAGATCATGACAGCATCAACCACAATTTCAGGGAAGGGCAAGCAGAACTCTGCGGCAGGCTCAGAGCCCTTGCAGCAAGTGATGGGGTGATGCAGAGTGGAGATATTCAAGTGGAGCTATAGTAGAGACCCAAGAAAGGTCACACTTGCTCAGGAAAGCCAAGGATGTTGGCCCACAGTCATCTGGGCAATGGCCGGCAGAACTGTAGGAACCGTAGTTTGCTGAGATAGGAACAAATAGCTCCATGCTCCTTATGGCAAGGCCCAGAAGCTGCTGCTGCTGCCATGCCTTCCTTACTATGATGGGCCATGAGCCAGAAGAGATCCTTTCTCCCTCAGTTGCTTCTGTCAGGACTTCTGTCCCGGCAACAAGCAGTGTAACTAATGTGTCATGTGATGTCCTGCATCTCCGTGGGGATGGCAGTGAGAAGGCCATCGCTGGATGTGGTCTCTCAACCTTGGACCTCCAAAATGTAGGCACATGCACTCCCCTGCAGTATTCTTCACAGGCTAACACACATGATAGCTTTAATTATCGTTTTATTTGTCTTGTTTCAAGCCCCCACCTGCACTTAGTGCTCCCCAAGGACACAGAGAGTCTTATATTCTTGTGCATCTATATAATATGTGGCTAACAAATAGGTTTCTTTAAATGCCTATACTAGAAAAAGTAAATACAGCTAGTTTACTTGAATCTTGACCTTGCTTTTCTATTAACAAGTAAAAAAACATAGAAAATGAAGTTTCTTTTCAGAAAAAGAAAAATATTGATTTTACGTGTATGGGTATTTTACCTGAATGTATGCCTCTGTAAGACATGCATGCAATGGCTGTGGAAGGGGAATGGGCATGGGACCTCCTAGAAACAGAGTTACAAACAGATGTAAGCTGCCATGTGGGTGCTGAGAATTGAACCTGAGTCCTCTGGAAGAGCAAATGGTGCTCTGAGCCACCTTTCCAGCCCCATAAAATATTTTCATTTATTATTCTTCACCAAGTTCTTCCAGTCAAAGCAGAGTGCTTTAAAGTAATCAAATTCATACCTAAATAGAGCTCGTTCATTTATCTGGCTGAAACAGTGATCATGTTTTTAAGAGTTCCTGCTTTCTGATGCTGTTTATTAGCACTGTTCCTGTGATTGATACACAGTAAGGTGCCTACCTAATTATCATTGTATTCAAAAGGACCTTGATTCATGTATAAAAGGCCAGTGAAGTAAAAGGTGGTGCCAGTAAAGGCATGGGAAAGGGAGGAAGAGGGAGCATCGGGAAAGGAGGGTGGGAAATTACAGTATTAATTAGGGATATGCTAAAGGAAAACCACTACACATCCAATACTCAAAAATGAGCAGTTCATCATGACTGTCCAGAAATCTGAGGGTGGCTCGGGTTGTACCTTAGCACACATGCTGGGAACCATCAGCAGATGGATGGGTTCACAATCCGTACACTGGGGTGTGACAACAAGTGAGGGGAGAGGTAGACACGGATGTACTTGTCTTAGGCATGTAAACATTCACAATTTAGAAGATGATCAGCACAGGTCTCTACTGTGTCCCAAGATCCAAAAGAAGTAAGTGCTACCAGGGGGCAAGCATGTATGTACTCTATTGACAAGGTTGTACCTAGTAAGTACTGAGTCCTGGGCTAGATCTCCAGCACTGCATAAATTTGGTGTGATGGCACACAAATGTCATCCTAGCCTTCAGAGGTGGTAGCAGGAGTTTGAGGTAATCCCTAGCTATGCAGTGAGTTAGAGGGCAGTGTGAACTACATGGGACCCCAGCTCCTTTTGAAGAAAAAAGGTGTGGTAAGACACACCGGATGGTCAGTTCAAGTGCTTGGTAGCAGGACACAATGGGTAGAAGGCTTATTCAACCATTTGTTTATTCTTTTCAAAACGGGCAGAGTAGGAATAGTGCAGTTACAGCTGTCCAGAAAACAGTGACTGCGGTCATGAACCGTAGGAGTGAAAAGCATGGCACATTCCCCATGGGACGAGACAAGGCTGGACTGCAGGACTAAGAGTCACTAAAAGGTGTTTGACATTGGAATTTTAAGGAGTCCATTCCTGTTGAAGTTTAAGACGGAATTGAAAGGTTCACAGCTTATTATGTCTTCTCAGGTTATGCTCCAGTCCACCAGTACAACATGTGAGCTGCACTTTCATGGCAGCCCACAGGATGAACCCTGGCCACTCCTATACTTTCTCATGCTCTGACAGCTATTCTAGGGTTAGTCTAACTATGCTGTAGGGCAGCATCCCCTCACGCTCCACTATACTCTCACACACACCATTTCAAGTATTTTTTCCAACACAGATGAGATCCTACCAAACCCTCTGAAAAGACTCGGTGTTTTCTCAACTATTCAGAGAGAATCCAAAGTGCAATTCAATCTAGCAGTGGACTCTGCTGCCCTGACTGTCTCTCTCTTCGGCCTTCTGTCCAGGCTGGCTGCTGTGTGTGTCCTGAAGCTCACCAAAGCTTCTCATCTGAGAACTCTAAGCCTTTCCTTTCTGACACATTCAACATTCACATCTTATTTCTTGGACCTCCTGCTCACCATCACCTCTTGAAGGAGGCGCTCCTGCATCTCAACTCTCCTTTCCCTTCTTTAGAACACTTACCACACCAGTTATTACACTTGTTTTTTGTTTTTTTTTTTTTTTTTTTTTTTTTGTTACTTCCCATAAGGTAAAGCCTGTAGGAATAAAGAACTCATGGCACTGAACACTCGAGCTGTTTAACAGCTGCTCAAAACAGACCTCAGTGAACATGTACTAGATAAATGACGGTGCACACAAGAGCTGGCTACAAGGTTTCCAGTTAGAATTCATTAGTTCTATGTTAACAACATATATACGAAATTTTAAATTTAAGATGTAAGCAATTACCTGATCTTTGAGAAATTTTCGGATGTTCCGATGGGCTCGGGAACACTCTGTTAATAAGCTGAGAACTGGAGTTAGACCCTCTCTATAGCTGCTTCCCTATAAAGAAAACCATGCATGCCATATTAGTCCAGTTCCTAAAGGTATGACTCTCCTCCTGAGAATATGAAGACTTTATTTATTTATTTATTTATTTATTTTTGAGGGGAGAGGAAGAAGATACATCTCATGATACCAAAGCTTACAAATAATTTTAAATTTTCCTTTAAATAGTATTTCTGTAAGTTGTCTCCATTTCATTATTTAGCTCTGTCTTTTCTGGTTTTTCCTACATTTTCTAGTGTTTCCACCAGCTTGGCTCATGCGTTTCAAGAAGCAAAGGATTCTTAGAGCCATCGAAGCCATACGGCTGCCTTTGAACACATTCACCAGAGAAACTGAGTGACAGACTAGAGACAACGGAGGACCAAACACTTCTTCAAATGTCACTTCAGGGTAAGTTAGTTCTTCTAACATTTACCAAGTAGCTGTACAGGGAAGGTATTCATTTTCCCTTTGTTTTCAGACCCTAGTCATACATTTGGTATGAAAATACAGTTTTCAACATAAATAAACTCACTTGATTTCTACCAATTTATCATTTTGACAAAACGCTTTTAAAAGTACAACTATATAGCATGCTGAGTACAAAGAGCAAGCTTGGTTGTGAGCTCATGCGTGTGGTCTGTCTCTGTGCAGGCAGCAGTCTTTAGAGGCACCGTCCAAGGCTTCATTCTAGCAGCCTTACCTTGTCAATTCTCTTCTCCATAAAACTGAGTAAAACATGAATGGCCTCCATATTCATGCCATTGTATACCATGGTATTGCTTTTCAAAGCTGTGTCTTTCTCGGTTGTTTTATCACCGGGCAGTTCATCTAGAGTCGCTGCCTCCTGAGATGTTTCTCCATGGGTTAATGGACAAATGAGAACATCCAAACAAGAGACTGGAACATTGCTTAAAAGGTTGACGGCATTGCTGAAAGGCAATTGAAAAATACAATATTTTAGTCTGACTGAATAGGTCTTTAAAATGCAAACATAATGCCAAGTTTGGAGGTGATTTTTTTGGAGTCAATTAAAATTTTTCTTTTTCAAGGTGAGCCATTAATATTACGTGGCATTTACTAAGAGAAAATAAAAAACTGTCTCAAACATACATATGACCAATTAAAAAGAAGAGATGTTAAATGGACAGAACAATCACAGGATGCCACGTCACTTTCTGAAATGCTAAAACAGGAATTAGCCATCAGGGATGCCCACTCTTTAATTTACTATAACATTGCTGGCTCTGAATTTTCTTCAGGGGCTTGAACTGCTTTTGTGGATCCACTGGTATTTATTATCCCTTAGATTACAACATAATGCATGCATTCGAGAAGCAATGCGTGAAAGCAGCTCATCAGAGGCAACACCATTAAAAACAAACACTGCAGTACTCAGATGTGGTTTTTCTAACGTACAAAGTACAATTTTTAAATTATCCTATTTTCTATATGACATTTTCAGGGAAAAAGAAATGGTGCCCTTCCCCGTCTATCAGGCCTGTTTAAGAGGCCATACTGCTGCGTCCAGCCTCTAACCTAGCTGTCTGCTTTTACACACAAACCTGGATGCACACCAGCAGGGGGAACCCAAACCTTGTATTTTTGGAATTCCCTAAAAACTTCTGTTGCTTAGTATACAAGAGGTTAAAAATGATAGCAGAAATTCAGAATTAGGCATGTTTTCAGTGTGCACATTTTCCTCCCTGCACTATACTATATTTTTATCTACCAGGAGAGGCAGTGTTCATGTGCAAGCTGGATTTTTATAGCTTGTACCCTAGCACTTCCTGATAAACAACAATGGAAAGACAGGCATTGCATTTCCTAGTGACACAGAAGGGAGTCTAAAAATAGCCACATCCTGACTAAAAATAAACTCTTGCAAATACAGTTTACAAGTCTAACCACTCAGAAACCGCAGCCAGGGCTTAATCCAGCTGATGTTGTCTTAATTTAGATCACAGCAATTTAAAATGTAATTTATAGTGACACTCTAAAAAATAAGACAGAACAAACAGAAGGGGTTTTTCTTTTACTTTGAAGTATGGTTTTCTTTCTCCATGAATCAATATTTCATTATTTTTATATTACAGAAAAATAAAAATTAGTTAAAAAAATAGACAATGGAGAAAATGAATGTGAATAAAAATAATATTAATTGTAGGCAAAAATAATTGAACCCTTTTTATAAATAATTGGTTTCTGGTACAATGTAAGTTATTGTTGTTGTCACCGTAGCTGCTGCTCTGCTGTTTATGAACACTCAAAGACAGTTAGAGCACAGCGTTTTTCACACAAACTTTAGATTTAAAAAGAAAATCCTCAGCTCCTTTATTTATACTTTAAAATTGCTTGTTCCTCACTTAAGCCTTTGGAGATGTTACTGAGAACCACGGTCATCAGAAAGAAGAGAGAACTTCACCTAGAAATCACTTTCTGAAACAGCACATGGCATTCGGAAATGCTAACATCCTGCAACACAAGAGAAACTGCTCTGGAAATCATCGGCAAAGACTCTCTAGCTATCACAGACCAGCCGGAAGAGTTTTGAGATGGTTGCTCTGTGACAAAGGGATGCTTCTCCTTTAGCTTCACTTAAAGGGGGAGTTCCCAGGGATGTGGCATATTTAAGAAGCCAAATGCAGAGCTGGAATCAACAAATATTTGAAGTTTAGGCTTTTCAAGAACAGTTCCTATTTTCGTATTTCTTATTAAACAAGTCAGTTCTCAAACAGCTACAAAATTAATTTTCTGGCTCACTGTGCCTGAGCTATTCTTTTAAGTGAGGAGGGTCAGCCTTTGAGCCCTGTCACTTCCCTGACAGTTTTATTTGTGGGAGAAGAGTGCATGAGATTCCCCAGCTACCAGGAAGTCAGTGATGATGCACACATTTACACAATGGTGTTTGCATTCCTCCTCCAGGGGGTAGAAAGGCTGTGTATATTACTCTCCTTTTCAGGTCCTAGAGACCATTAATCACTGTGTCATGACATCCTCCAGCTCAAGCTCCCAGCCCCCTGGATACACAGATTCAAAAGCAAGGCTTACTTATAGCTCCTCGGTGCCCTGATTAAAAGCTTACTAGCTGCGGGACGGGGAAGATAACCCCAAATCTAGTCTTCCATCAACTGCTGAATTCAACAAAATGCCAAATGATGGTGAGGAACATGCTAACAGTTCACACTCAGCAGCAGCAGGTAACAAATCTTATGATCAAATGTAGTTTCTTTACACTTGAGGTTTACATGTGCATTGTCAATTCGCTGGAAAGAAAGCCAGCCAAACAAATCTCAAGATCTTCAAATGATTCCCCTGTTCTCTTTATTTAAAAAAAAAAAAAAAAAAAAAAAGTTTAATTTTTGTTTCTTTCGTGGTATGAGCACTTAAGCTTAAGATCTACCCTTTTTACCGAATGTTAAATAAATGTTACAGTCTTGTCTCTACAGACCCTGCGGGACAGCAGCAGTAGAAGTCACAACCACAAATTGTAGCTTTTGACTGACAGCACACGCCCTCCCCTTGGTCCCCGGCACCACTAGTTAGATTAGCTATTAAAGAGGATCATGCAGCATTTGTCCTTTTGTGTTTGGTTCATTTAACTCATCACAGTGTCTTCTGTACCTACTCAATCAATGTTCTTGCAAATGACAGGATTTCCCTCTTTCCAAAGGTCGAATAACATCGCATTACGTGCACACATTTCCCACATTTTATTCACTTATCTGTTGTTAGACATCCAGGTTGTCTCCCTAGCTCCACCTCCGCAGTCTATCTCTGTCCTTACCTTCTCTCGCTATCCCTTTATCTGCTGACAGGCATTCAGGTAGTCTTCACATCCCTGTCAATGTGAATGGTGATGTGACGAACACGAGTGTGCAGGTATCTCTTTGGGACAATGACTTTTATTTCTTTTGGATACATATCCACCGGTGTGACTGGTGCAGTAAATGGCACTTCTATTTTCAAACTATAGAAGGTCCTTCATACTGTTTCCCACAATGGCTATATTAACTTACACTGCTGCCAGGGTACAAAGATTCTCCTTTCCCACATGCTCTCACAGCTACCCACTATACCAGATGAAAGGTGAACCTTAAGGGTCTGATTGTATTTTACAGATTAGTAACGCTAGCCATGCTTCCATATGCATGTTTTCTTTGGAGAAATACCGATTCCGGTCCTTGGTCTGTCCTCCTGGCCCTCCTTCCCTCCCCATTCTTTCTCTCCCCCCCCCCTTGTCCCTCCCTTCCCGTTCTTTTTCTTCCTGGCTAGTAAGAGTCCTGTGCCGGGTCTGGTAGTACATTCCTGTAATCCTAGCACTCAGGAGGATAAGCAGGGCATTGTCAACTGAAGATTAGTTTAGGCTACATAGTCAGTTCAAGACTAGCCCAAGCTGCATTAAAAGTAAAACAATAAAACAATTCCTTGTATCTTACCAAAGGGACGGAAGGGGAAGCCTGTGGGCAGCTGTGCACAGGTGTTTTCACTAAGGCAATTTCCTATACACTGCAGGGTTTCAGTTTGATGAACTCCCACCTAACGACCCTTGCCTTTGATGTCTGTCCTGGGTCATACCTACAAATTATTGATAACCTAAGCTCTAGAAGCTTGCTTACTCTATGTACTCTAAGTTTTAGTGTGTTGGACTTTACAGTGAAGGCTTCTGTTACCTTTCTAGCTCTTTGATGGTGGTGTGTCACAGTTTAACTTCATTATTTTACACACAGAAACCAGTTTTCCTAACTCCGTTTCTTGAAGAATGTGTTATTCTTCACACCCCTGTGTTTGTACACATGACTGCACATTTGTAGCATGTAGGTTTTTTGGCTCTCTATACTCTGTTTCACTGGTCTACATGTCTATTTTCATGTAACTACTACAATAAATTAATTACTGGAGCTTCGTAATGTCTTATGAAATCAGGTACTGCTGTACTTCTGTAGCTTTGTTCTTACTCAGTAACTTTCACTACTGGGGTTTCTGTAGTGCAAGTAGCAAGGGAGGAGGAAGATGACAGCATTCAGACTATCCTGCTTCTCTTTATGGTAACATGGTTTGCTGATGACATTAAACTAGAGTTGTCTAGGCAAAGTAGCAGAGGTTAACTGCATGTTAATTGATTTCTGTGGGTAAGCCCACAGAGACATTGAGGTCAAAGCAACATTCTGTAAAGTAGGACAGGGCACATTCAACTGCAGAGAGGTACATCAAATGACCCACTGGGGTGCAGAAAGAAAACATATAAGTCTTACCTACGTGTCTGGAAAGTAGAAGTCTCACTTTGCTATTGAACCAATGCACTAACACTGGCACCCACACCTGAGTCGAATGCTCCTCACTCACAAACCCCAGTGAAATAGTGGGAAGAGTGAAAATTCCGGGCCATTGGCAGGGCAGCCATGATTCTCCCTTCCCTTAGTCACTCACTTGCATCGTGAATTGGTCACAGTGCAATCAGCATATGCTTAGGTAGGTTATAGACTGTTTTATCTGTGCTTTTTTGCGGGGAGGCTGCTCTCTGGGGCCTCACATCTGTTAAACATGCTATTCCTGCACAAAATCTTCAGCCTTGCTTCATAAGTTTTAAATTGAACAAATTCTTACAAAACAGGCAAATCACTTTAAGTGATTCCTGCAAAGGAAACCCAAATTTAAGACATTAGCACATTCTACTTTCTTTCTGACAAGAAAACGGCAGAGTCCTTTGCTGTGCCACAAGGAAAGTCAGGGCAATCCAAATGCCTCACTCAGCATGGAGTCAGGTTTCTGCTTCAAGACTGGATCTCCTGTGACCCAGGATGGCCTTGGATTCACTGTGTAAATTTTGAGAGTGAATCCCCTATACAGCAGAGTGGCCTTAGCTCACTGAGTAGCTGACAGTGACCTTCAACTCTTGACACTCTTGCTCTGCCTTTGGAATGCTGTTATT